GCACACGTGTGAAGAAAAGGAGATGATCAGGACTGTTCAGAGCCCAAAGAACTCAGGACCAAGGATAGCAAAGACTAGGTATACTGGACACATACCCAGTGTTCACTCGAGAAAGCATTCTGCTCTTCAAAGCTGGTATGTGGACATACATGTTTACCTCTAGCTCTGGCACCCTAGTGAGATTTCTGGGCTTAAATAAATATTATTCTCAGAAGCATGGCTAGTTCTGTACTTGTGACTATTTCTCTGACCACACAACTGACTTTGCACCTTCCAAAACTACTTTCTTTCAGCAAAGATTGGATTTTCTTCAACTAATGATCAACTCCCAGAATTCCAAAGACAAAGAGTCTCATCAAGGTAAACAAATATGAGTCCTATCTACTGATGTGGAACCACGAAGATAGATATTTATTCTGGAAATATGCAAGGGGCTTCCCAGTCAGATGAAGATGTCTGCAGATTACAGAATAACATATTTGTGGGTGTTATATATTCAGTCAAAGGAACTTGCTAGAAGCACAGGATTATTACTGTGTTCAAAGCCTGAAGGGCAGCCATGCACATGAGATTCAGGACTGGAGGTTATCAGTAGTCTCTGGATCTTATGCCACAGAATAGACACCATCTGGGCCTCATCTAGACCCGGAGTCCAAAGCCCTGCTTGGACATTTGTATCTAGACACCCAGTGAGAGGAACAGCCCCACAGTGGTGATGGTCACTGGAAACCTGGGATGAATGCTTGTCCAGCTCTTGATTTGCAGCCAAGCTTTGATTTCCTGTGTAGCTGTGGAGAAAGCCTTGGGACTAAGCACATACCCCAGTACTCTTACTAGCTTTTCACCTACATATTTTCCCATCATGGGTGGCTGTTGAGGAAGCCATTGCTGCGATGGTTGAAGAACGATGTCTTTCTAATGCCATCCTCCCTAGGCAGCCAGGAGTTCCACTGTAGGGAGAGACCACGGTCATTTTATTTCATTCCTTTTCTTTTTTTTTCCTTTCTTCCCACATTTCTTCCTTTGTTTCTTATTTCCTCATTCCCTTCTTTTATCCTCCAACTTCTCCTACACTTATCTCTCTCCAACATGATCATACATTAATCCTGTTCCCTTACCATCATAATTTTATTGACACACAGATTCAACGACATTTGTCCAGTGTAGAAGCCCTTTAGGTTGAACTCCTGATTCCTTTCTTAAGCTAATCGAATGTTGATTTATTACAACTAAACAGCTTTGTATTTCTGCTTGATAATCCCAACAGAGAGCAGAGTTCTGAAGCTTTTGCATCCATGCACTACTTTCACACACTGGTTATTTTCTTGTTGCTGTGAGAAAATGCCTGACAACCAGGAATTTAAAGGAGGGGGGGTTTAATTTGACTTGTGGTTCAAGCTGATCATTCATTCAGTTTTGGAGACTTGACAACACATGGCACTAGGCATAGTAGCAGGAACAGCATAGAGTGACCAGGAAGTGTGGTCAAGCTACCAAACCTCAAGGTCCCATCCCTGTGACCCAGTTCCTCCAAGGAACCTTCTTCACAAGCATCTCTGCCATTTAGGGATCAAGCGTCCAGACAAATAAGACTGAGGGACACTTGACATTCAAGCCAAAACAATAACACACATTTCGTGTTCGCTAGGACAAAGAACCTGACGGGGCGTCTTCCCACCAAGATGTCATGCTTAGCAGACCAGAGCTCTACAAACCCCTAAACATTCCTTTTCCACTGTTTTCCCAATTCTGAACTTTCAAGGTTGGAGCAGATCACATGTTGTAGTCCCACTCCACTCCCTGCTCAGGGTGTAACTGTTCAGTGCTTAACTGAACTGAGCTTCTGTGCGGATTAAAACCCAAGAGGGAGAACAACTGTTATCAGGAGCTGTGTGGTCTAGCAGAGCTGGGGGAGGGGAATGCCGAGGCAGATGACATTCAGCCATGACTGACTCAGCATTGCTAATTTTATTCTATGGCCTGCTGGAGTCTACACACAATCAATCAATTTAAAAATAATTGAAATAAAAATGTATGTCCTTTCCTTTCAGGTTTATCTGATCTTGAGATTGTGGCCCAATCTGTTTTCTTTATTTTTGCTGGCTATGAGACCACTAGCAGTACTCTTTGCTTTGCTATGTATTTGCTTGCCACTCACCCTGATGTCCAGAAGAAACTTCAAGATAAAATTGATGTTGCTCTACCCAATAAGGTGAGGAAATGGGACCTGGAGAGGGCACTGGAGAGAAGTATGGCTCCTTATCACATTAGGTGAGAATCTTTGCATGGGGCCATAAGCATCGACTCTTCTACCAGCTTTATTTAAGAAAGATATGAAAAGATAAGTGAATGGGAAATAGGTATCAGGTACTACTTTTAGGATTAACACATCTTTGTAGATGAATGTTAGTACAGATTTATCCATCATCTGTCACCAAAAACTACCAAGAAACAACCACAAAAAAAAAAAAAAAAAAAAAAAAAAAAAAAAAAACAGTGGCATGGAAATATGAGCTTTGGTTAGTCAAGTGTCTGAGGAGTCAGCTCTGTTGATGTTGTGGGGTGTGTTGTTGCCTGCTGTTGGCTTGGTGTGACTAGCCTTGGCTAGACTGGGCTAAGCAGATTGATTTAGCTCTGCCCCACACATCTCTCTCCACTCATAGGTGACCTGAGTCAAGCTCTTAACCCTACATTACAGTCTGTCTAAAAGTCCCATAAAGTAATAATCACATATTTCACAGATTGGACTTTGCAACGCTGCCCAACTGGGAGGTTTGGGGTGTAAGGCTACCTGGTCTGAGAGGCCGTCAGTTTGGTTTATCATTCTCTTCAGAGCTCACAGGCAAGCCCTGAAAGAACAACCAGCAGCCTGGACCAGCAACAGAGAATGGAGCTGAGTGATGGATCCTATTCTCATTGTGACTTTTACCAGGGTTGGAACTGAGCATTTTGATGGCAATGACTGTGTCTGTCTTTTGTCATCTGTAGTACAGAAAAGACTATTAACACCTCCTCAGATCACTTATTTTTTTTTTGCTGTACAACCATGCTGCATACTTTTATTTAATTTTAAACTATTTTAATTGAAATAGAATTACATCACTTTTCTCCTGCCCTTTCCTCCCTCCAACCCATGCCTCAAATCACTCCCATCCCCCCACTCTCAAGTCGATAACACCTTTTTTGATTATTATTTTTATACAAATATACACATATGTTTGTATGTGTGTGCACACATATATGTATACATATATGTGTGTATATATACATATGTGTGTATATATGTGTGTATATACATACACACACACAACCTACTGAGTCCATTTTTGTTGTTGTGTGTATATGGTTTCAAGGCTGACCACTCTGCATTGGACAACCAATAAGAGGTCTCATTCCTGAGAGACGCTAATTGTCCTTCCTCCAAGAGTCATTAGTTGCCTGAAGTTCTTGGTTTAGGACCATGTGAAATTATCTCCTTCCACATTAACATATCCATTGATATTGCCACTCTTCTGGTCTTGCCTATGCACCCATTTCTAAGAGAGACTGTTTCATAGCAGACTTCCTCTTACAATCTTTCCACCTCCCTCCTCTTCTCCATGTTCCCTGAGCTGTAAATGCTGTCATCATGTAATGTAGATGTATCTGTTGGTGCTGAGCTCCCTATGATCCATTGATCTCTGTATTGTGTCCAGTTGAGGTTTCTTGTGATGATATCCATTTGATGTAAAGATGAGCTTCTTTGATGAGCAATAGTAGCTATCAAAGATTAGCTGATTTAATGTTTCTAAATTGTATACATAATCAAAAGAATGACCATGCAATATATTTATAACTAAATAAAAATAAGGATTTATTTAAAGGCTATAAAGATAGTTCATCAGTTAAGAGCTCTGACTGCTCTTTCAGAGGACCTGAGTTCAGTTCCTAACACCCATATCAGGGAGCTCACAACCATGTGTAGCTATGTTCTAGGGGCTCTGACACCCTTTTCTGGCCCCCAGAGCACATGAACTCACATGCACAAACCTCTACAGAAGCACATGCACATAAATAAAAATAAAGTTTTTTTTAAATAGAGATTGCTATCATCTGTATTTTATAGAATTTCATGCATATGTGTGAAAGGTAACACTAACTGTGGCATATTGTTATTGAATGTAATTATCATAATCTATGGTTCCTGACATAAGAAATTTAAAAAAAAAAAAGTAGTACATAGTAATGCTGAGGATTCAAGGCCCTGGGTTTGGCATTGGGCCAAACTTCTCAATGGGTTATTGAACAGGTTGAGAAATGTGAGGTATTAAAATGCTTTGTAGCCAGGCAGTGGTGGTGCATGCCTTTAATCCCAGCAGCACTCAGGAAGCAGAGGCAGGGGGACCTCTGTAAGTTGGAGGCCAGCCTGGTCTGCAGAGAGAGTTCCAGGACATCCAGGGCTGTTACACAGAGAAACCCTGTGTCAAAAAAAAAAATGCTAAGGTTCTTTATCAAATAGGAGTTATTCTTTGGAACTCCAAACACCTCAGTGGTACTCTGTAGATGAAAATTAATTCAAAATTTAATTCATAAATCTCTCTCCCTCTCCCTCATCCCCTCTACCTATTCTCCCTTTCCTTTCTTCCAGGCACCTGTCACCTATGATGCCCTGGTAGAGATGGAGTATTTGGACATGGTGGTGAATGAAACTCTCAGATTATATCCAGTTGGTGGAAGACTCGAGAGAGTCTGTAAGAAAGATGTTGAAGTCAATGGGGTGCTCATTCCCAAAGGGACTGTGGTGATGGTACCAACCTTTGCTCTTCACAGAGACCCAAAGTGCTGGCCGGAGCCTGAGGAGTTCCGCCCTGAAAGGTACAGGGACATGGGAAAGATAAACTACCCAGAACTGGGCTAGTCCAAGCATGATGTGTCTCTTGGTATTGAAGATATATTTGTAGCAACAGTCTATCTGTGTGTGTCTCTCTGCCTGCCTGCCTGCCTGTCTATGTAAACTTTTAGAAAAGTATAACATCTACCATACTTTCCTCAGCACTATCTTATTTTGTGTGTTATGCTTTTCATTCACCTCAGGTTTTCCTTGCCATTTGCATTAACTGTCCCTGTCATCTTTAGAGAGCATCTGCATCTCCCATTTGACTAGACTTTGCCTCCTGGATCTTCTATTATGGCTGTAATGGTGTCACTGTGGGCCTAGAGGCCCTCCTCCATTAAGCTTAGAGCAGCCCTGCTGAAGATAGCCCATGGGTCCTCACAGTCCTATCTCTAGCTGTCATTCTAGCCACCTCCCTTATACTTAATGACTCTTCTAAGGCCAAGTCACCCTCTTGCCTAGAAACCTGAGACATGCTTCTTTGGAGATGCCTCAAGCAGATTCTTCTGGAAATATTGGAACCACAACCAGGCTTCAGTCAAATTTTAAGTCTAAAAATAACTGTTTTCTTGATCTCCTGTTGGTAACCAAAACAGAGAACGGAGGTCTTAGCAATGAGGCTAGCCAGTCAAAGGAGCTATGATCAAGATATGAATCCCTAACTGGATTTTCTGCTGTCAGAATATGTGCCTTAGCAGTTGTAGCATTCCTGTTGCCACCATAATATTTACTGAGGGAGTCACTCGAGGTTGGTCCATGCCATATGACTTCTGTGTTCCCTCCAGCCTCAGCAATTCCACCTCCTGTAGTTTTGTAGCTATAAAAGCACAAACCATTGATTTTTTTTATTTATGATGAATTTTTTAGTAGTGAAATACATGCCTATTTGTATAGAGACTACTCCAAACACTGATAAAATGCAAATTTTAATATATGTCTATTAGAGATTAATGTTTGACAAGTGCCCAAGAATAATATATTGAAATTATATATAGAGTAATATATAAAAATTATATACTCGGCACTCTAAATGGATCTCTATGTGCCTATCAACCATTCACCCATGTCAGCTACTCCACACACATCTTCAACAACTCTCTCAACTGCCATGTGGTATGTGTGTGTGTGTGTGTATGTGTGTGTGTGTGTGTGTGTATTATGTATATATAACATACAACTCACAAATACTTCAGAATTTTCTTCAAAATATAAATTAGGGTTTGAAATACATAACCACATTACAATTATCACCCACCCTAAAAATCACTATTCTTCTCTTAAATATTTAAATGATATCAAATTTAAATAAAATGTGTCTACTCTTCTGGAATTTAATACGCAAGGAAACATATAAAGAGAAACTTTGATGATATGACACTGGAGTGACTTCGGGTATTTTGTAAGATATTGACTTAAATACTCAACAAGGAAGGAAGGGAAGTAGGAAGAAGCAAAAGAAGGTGGAAGATGCAGAAGAAGAAAAGAAGGGATGGAAAGGAAGGAGGGAGGGATGAATGGAGGAGAATAAAGAGAAAGAAACAAAAGAAAGGAGACATAGGGAGGTAGAGAAATAAGGGAGGGAGAAATGGAGGAGGAGAGGAATCAAGGGAGGGAGGGAGAGAAGGTTGTTAGCTATAAGAAAAGAAAGACAAGGAATGTAGTCAAAAACAGACGAAGAATTGAGATTGGAGAACTATAGAGTGCAAATGGAAAACAAACTTTCTTTTTAAAAAAAAACTTTCAATAGTGGCAGGTGTGTCATCCTTGGAGCCCAATGAGCACGTGACCAGCAGAAGTGTTAGTAGAGGAAAAAACATGCTTTTGTTCTACTGGTCTCATTTCTTGTGTGTCAGAATATGCACACATCACTGGGCCAAATGCACTCCTCTTGCTTCAAGATAAATTTTCTTAAACTGGGTGTGGTGGTGCATAGTCCCAGCACTCAGGAGGCAGAGGCAGGTGGATCTCTGTGAGTCTGAGGCCAGCCTGGGCTACATAGTTTCAGACCAGCCAGGGCTATATAGTGAGACTTTATTAAATAATTAAATAATTAATTAAATAATAAATAAATGTTCTTTTGAACAGCATTGACATCATCTCAACATAACTTAAAGCTTCTCCACAGTAAAGACAAAGGGAGAGGCCTGTACCCTACAATTTCTACACTATATTACCAACTCCAATGCCTAAGACACGACACAAAAGACAGGGAGGACAGACTGAGGTGGCTAAAGGGTGGGGAGGGGTGCTTGTCTTCTGGACAAGGCACGGCCATTGCCATCATAAACACACAGCATCCATAACTTCCTATAAAAGACTTGCACATGTGCATTCGCGCGTGCGCGCGCACACACACACACACACACACACACACACACACACACACACACACCAGAGAGAGAGAGAGAGAAAGAGGCAGCAAAGTAGGAGGGGACTAGCTGGGAAGAAAAGAATGAAAGAAGAGGGATCACAGTGTATTGTATGTAACTAAAAAGCTGTCAAAAATTAACTTTTAAAAATCGCAGCAGAATTTCGACAAGCAGCCCAGGCAAGCATCCTGTTTACTATTGCTTGTGTGTATCTAAGAGATATCAAACAAGGAACTGTTGTGGGGTTTTATGATTTGTTAACTTGTCTTCATCTTCATCTACTCCTGTGGGACCAGGTTCAGCAAGAAGAACCAGGACAGAATCGATCCCTACACATACCAGCCCTTTGGGAGTGGCCCCAGGAACTGCATTGGCATGAGGTTTGCGCTCCTGAATGTGAAAATCGCTCTGGTCAGAGTCCTGCAGAACTTCTCCTTCCAACCTTGTGAGCAAACTCAGGTAAGTGTGCTTCCTCACTAAGTTACATACAGCTTGGTTTTTTAATTTGGGCCATCTATATGCAGAGAAGTATATGCTTGCCCACTTTTTAATTTACTCTATGAGCCAAGTAATTTCTTTTGTAATAACTGTTGAGTTTGCAGCCTCCAGTTTGGGAGGCTGTATCTTTTGTTTTATATATATATTATATGTATATAAATATTATATAATATTTATATTATATAACATATTTTATATAATATTTGTATAAATTTATATAAATATTATATTATCAATGCAGGGGCTGAAGAGTAGTTCATTCAGGAGAATGCCTGCATTATAAGCATGAAGACCAGAGTTTTATCCCCAGACCCCAAATATCTAAAATCTTGGCTCCTATGGAATGACAACTGGGGGAAAGGTCATTTTCACGTACATCTAAAGCAAATTGGTCCTTGATGAATCTCTTCCTTGCTTCTGTGCTTGGTGACGCTTCATTGCTTGGCTCTCACTGTGTTTGTGTAACTGTTGCAGATCCCTTTAAAACTGCAAAAGAAAGGATTTTTTCAGCCAGAAAAACCCATCATTCTAAGGGCTGTATCAAGGGATGGAACCGTAAGTGGAGCGTGACATGAAGCCCATTAGGAGTCTGTGTCCCGTGACGCCAGAAGCCAATTGATTTGGTGAAGAAAATGCAGAAATCAAGATGGCATTGATTGTCTTCATGTATGGGAGTCTCTGGGAAATCATCAAACTGCTCTTTCTCCTCTATCCACCAAAGTTCAAAAATCATTTCCCAAATTAGATAAAAGCAAGAGTATTTGTGTGTATGTGTGTGTTTGTTTTTCTTTGTTTCACTTTTGGGTTGGGTTGGCGAGTTGGTTGTTTTTAAAACAGTGCCACATATACCCCAGGCTGGCTTCAAACTCACTACATGGCAGTTGATATCCTGGAATCCCTGATACTGCCTTCCAAGTGCTGAGTTTATCATCCTTCACTAGCATGCCCAGCTAAGCTGTTACCTCACAGAAGAACTGGACGACTGTATTCGTGAGATAACTGTCCTGCTCTTATTTGGATATTTTTGCACAATTGGGACTATACGGGATGAAGACATGGCAGGGTGGACAAAGCACTCACTGTGCAAACTTAAGACCCAGAATTCAGAGCCCCAGATCGAAATTAAAAGATAAGCAGGCATGATGGCCACCTATAATCCCAACACTGGAGAGGCAGGGACAGGATATCCCCTGGGCAAACTGACTGGCTAGACCGGACAGTTGGTGATCTCTATGCCTCACTAAAGTGCAGAGGGACTGAGGGAGACTTTGTCAACTTTCAACTTCCACAAGCACCCTGAACACATGTGTACACGCTCTTATCAACATGTGTGTCACCACACATGCATAGGTGCACACAACATGCATGCATACAGAGGCAAAAAAAATTATTTAAAAGATTGTAACTTCTGGGATTTGGATGTAACATGCAGATTGTTCAGAGTAATGCTTCCCCTACCTTACTGAAGGCAATTCACTCAGCCAGTGGAAGTCAGTGTTTCCCATGGGTCATAGCACAGAAGGTATCGATTTAAATGAGAAGCAATAGCACAGTGATTGGAATGCTCATGTCACCAGGTGAAGGATCAGAAGGATCTAAGGGAGAGCATTGGGTATCAGCCTAACCAATTCCATTTTGTCCAGTTTGTGCCTCTTTAACTTTTTCTTTCTGAGTTCCTCTCCCATGCATTTATCTTGGAATATAAGAAGGATGTGATGGGTTGATAAGCATGAAAGAACAAAGCTACATTCAAACAACAATGAAATCTGCAGGACAGATCACACATGCAAACACATGAGAGAGAGGAGAGAGAGAGAGAGAGAGAGAGAGAGAGAGAGAGAGAGAGGAGAGAGAGAATGAGAATCTGATGGTGAGGCTGTATCTCAGAGTAGGAGCAATCATCTCTTGGGAATGCAAATGATGACCACAACAGCTTTTCTAGAGCCCCTGAAGAAGCAGAACTAAAATAGGATTATTTACATCACTGATTTGGCCAAGATTACCCTTCTGCCTATCATGCATATCTGCCTTAAGGTTTCTATTGCTGTGATAAAGCACAATGAGCAAACGCAACTTGGAGAGGAGAGGATTTATTCATCTCACAGCTTGGAGTATTTCCACCATTCAAAGAAGTCAGAACAAGAATACAAGGCAGGAATATGGAGGCAGGAAATGAAGCAGAGGCCATGGAGGAACACTGCTTGCTTTCTTGCTCCTCATGGCTTGCTCAGCCTGCTTTCTTTCTTTTTTTTTTTTTTTT